ATGCTACTGATGTTACTGCCATTGCCCAAAGAGCAGAATCTCCATTGTTACTGTTTCTATGTATCACCAACTCCCCCAAAATGAAGGCCTAGGTATATAGAACTGATTGGTTGCATTTAGGTCCTGGGCCTACATCCTTGTTTCAAGGAGGGACTGGAAAGTGAAAGTTTGAATAAAAAAAAAGTTTTTATTGATTTTATAGAGAGGGGAAGGGAAAGATACATAGAAACATCAATGATAGGCTACCTCCCACTGGGATTGGAGCCCACAGCCCAGGCATGTGCTCTGACCATGTTCTGGAATTAAACCAGTAACATCTTGGTTCATGGGTTGAAACTCAACTGCTGAGCCACCCTGGCTGGACAGAAATTTTTGACTTCTGTAGTAGAAGCTAGTCTTTTGCCAAGACTAAAAAAGAGTAAATATAAAAATATCTAAACATAAAAATGGGCTTAAGATGCCGAGTAGCTAAAATGAACCCAAAATTTATTTAAAAAATGTCCAACAAACTCTCTCAGGATTATTAAATATAATTGATTACTTTCTCCTTCTTGGACTATTGTTTCTTAAGTTTTCATGACATTACATTCTTTTCCTCCTATCTATTATGATCACTCCATCTCAGTTTCCTTTGAAGTCTCCTCTTCCTTCTTTATCTGACTTCTAAATGACAGAATTCCTGACAGCTTGAGTCTGGACTTTCTTTCCATTGTTTACTTTATATTCGTGTTTTGTTTTTTTTTCATTTTCTCCCCTAATCTGCTCACTGACCCTTCTCTATCTCATCATTTGTTCTGGCAATCTGACCTTCATGGACTGCCTCACCTGGGTTCTCTTGTCCTCTGAATTCCAGGTAGGGTTGGCCAATGGAATGTGCCACTAGGATGCGGAAAAGTGGGATGAGAGAGAGGTAATATATTGATTTCTCACGTTGCCCCCAGTTTTGCTATTCTGCCAGTGGCTGGATTACTTTCAACTATGGCTCCTGTGAGGTGCCCCCTTTCCAACAATTCCACTTAACTCTTGACTTGACATTATTTCTTCCCTTTAACCGTTCAGGTCTAAGGGCGATACCACTTCCTACTGTTGATAGTCTTAACCCTGTCTATGTTTCTCTAAATAGTCTCTTCAAAATTCCAATTGAGTGTTCCACATACTTCTTACAGGACTCTGATTGGAGCATTTTTATATGTTGATGACACTAAAATTAATATTTGACCTCCTCTCTAAGCTCTAGACTAGAATACTTAATTGCTAACTCATCTCCACTTGAATATCATAACCTTACCCATAAGATTTGGGTCTCCTTCAGTCTTGGCTTTTTTAGTGACAAGCACTACAGTGCACTGAGTTAGAAACTTGCAAAAGTTAAAAATATGGAAGTTATCCTTGACACCTCCCCCCCCCTTACCTCTTATAATCAAATATCAAATCCTGTTAAAGCTACCTCCTAAATAATACCTAAATTCATCCACTTCTTTCCATTTCCACTTCACAAGTGTAGTCTAAGCCATGAACATATGTAGCCTGGAATAATGCAATAAACAGTCTTCTTATTGTCTCCTGCATCTAACCTTTCTCCCTTCCAACCCATTTGGCATACTGTAGCCATAGGGAATTCTTTAAAAATGTAAAATTGGATAATGTCACTCCTAAGTTTAAACCTCAATGGGTTCTTACTGTCTTTAAATAATGTTCAATATCCTTAATATGACCTTCTACATGCACTATGATGTGTGCCTTGTATACCTGAACAGAATCAAACTCTCTCTATAACTTGCTTACTAAACTTTAGCCCCTAATTGGTCTTATTATGGTTCTTCAAACACAATGTTCTTCTTAGCTTTGTATATGCTGTTTTCTCTACCTAGAATGTTTCTTTCCTGCCTCCCAACACAATGATTATTTCTAATTTTCTAACTCTTACTTATTACTCAGTGTCATCTCTCCTTGCCACCTCCCTAATATAACACCACTTTGCACACTGTAAATTATGTAAGGTATAATTGACATAAAGTAAGTTGGAATAAAGAATCCACCTGTGGCCCTGACCTAACTCAATTGCTTAGAGCATCATCCTGATGTGCCAAAGTTGCCAGTTTGATCCCCAATCAGGGCACATACAAAAAACAACCAATGAATGCATAAATAAGTGGAACAACAAATTGATGTTTCTCTCTTTCTCAAGTCAATTTTAAAATAACACACCTGTGAAATCATTATCACAAGCAACATAACATATTCACCCTCCCAAAGTGTTCCTTATCCCTAAGGGTGATAACCACTTCCTACTGTTGAAAGTCTTAATCCTGTCTATGTTTCTCTAAATAGTCTCTTCAAAATTCCAACATGCACTCCCATCTCCAGGAAAACACTAATTTGCTTTTGGTCACTACAGATGAGTTTACAATTCCTACAATTTACGTAAGCAGAATCACACAGTATGTGCCCCCTTTTGTCTGCTCTTTAAAAAAACTCAGTGTCTCTCCTGGTATATTGAGATTGATTCATGTGGTAGCATATATCAATAGCTCATTCTTTTTATTGCAGACTAGCATTTTATTGTACATATGTACTAAAATTTGTTTAGCAATTCATCTTTTGATGGACATTTGGGTTGCCTCCAGTTTTGGGTGATTACAAAGAAAGCTGCTATGAATATTCATGTGTGAGTATTTGTGTGGACATAAACCCTCATTTCTCTTGGCTAGGAGTTAAATGGCTGGGTCATATGATAGTTATATGCTTAACATTTAAGATACTGCCAACATATAGGACAATTGACATCTTAATAGTATTGTCTTCTGATCCATTAACATAGAATACATACCACTTACTTAGGTCTTCTTTAATTTCTGTCAGCAATGTTATATAGTTTTCAGTATACAGGTTTGCACATTGTGTGTGGGGGTCAGATTATGCCATTTTAATACTATTTTAAGAACTGCTCTTTACCAGTAAATGTTAATTTCTAACTATTCATTGTTAGTATATAGAAATACAATTCAGTTTTGTATATTCTTCTTGCATTTTACTAAATTTACTTATTAATTATTTTGTTTTGTGCTTTTTTAACTTTAGATTTGAGTTTCTTTTAAGACTGAGCTATCAAATGAAAGTCCTTTTTAACCCAACTGATGTTAATGGCATCCTATATAATAAAACCCTAATATGCAAATCGACTGAATGTTACACCGGTAGCTGTGACAAGCACTGACCGCCAGGCCGCCAACCAAGTCGGGTGCCAGCGGGGGGCCCCCCAATAGCCCTGCCAGTCACCCCACAGATTGGCCCTGATTGCTTGCCAGGCCTAGGGACTCTATATATGGAGAACAGTCTCTTAGATTTAAAAATTAAAACCTGGCAATGGTACTCTAACACTGAAAAAACAGGATGATGCAGCAATGACATGCATGGACTCTGGCTTGCACATTTTGTGTTCAGCCCTGATTCTGACACTTATAACTGTGTGACAAAGCCAATTACTTAACTTCTCTCTGCTTCAGTTTTTCCACGCACATATGGGGAAAATGGTACTACTGCTTCAGAAGGATCATGTTATGTACTACTTTTTATAATCAGGGCAAAAAAAATGTAGCTGCTCATACAACAGCAAGATGCCTTTCACCTGTATGAAGAGTATGGTCACTGGTGCATGCAGAGCCCTGAATTGCGAGAGGGATGTCTGACTGCCGGTTTAGGCCTGATATTCCCCAAGAGGTCCCGGATTGGGAGAGGGCACAGGCTGGACTGAGGCCGCCCCGCCCCCTCCCATGCATGAATTTCATGCACTGGGCTACTAGAAGTCTATAAGATAACTAGTTTAATTAAAACCACTGGTCTGGCTGTCAAAGTTTTCTAGGCCTTAACCTGATAATGCTCTGATGTTCTGACATATTGCCCCTAAATAAATAGAAACCATGTTAAGGCTCTTTATTAACATTCACCTTTTCAGATAGAATCTGGGCAGATATTTATTTCTAAAATAAAATTAAATTGGTTACATCATAGTTTCATGGTTTTTTTTTTTTTTTAACAATGAGATAATTCATTATAGTAAATGAAGACTATTAATTTGGGTTTGGGTTTAGGTACAGCATCATGCTACATTTGATAAACACTGGGATTAATTTATTATTTAAGAAGAGAAAAACAGATAAGCATGTACAAATAACAGAAAGGTACCAGGGTAAATTTTACTTGGTTCTCGGAAATATGTGGTTAATGGCCCTGGCTGGGTGGCTCAGTTAGTTGGAGCATCATCCCGGACACCAAAAGGTTGCAGATTTGATCGCTGGTCAGGGCACATACTTAGGTTGTATGTTCCATGCCTCCTGGGGCACATACAGCAGGCAACCCATCGATGTCCCTCTCTCTCAAACCAATAAAAACATACCCTCAGATGAAAACAACAAATATCATTATTATGATGACATGAGGGAAGGAAAGAAGAGAAATGGCTAAATGAAGATAAAGTATGATATATAAATTTCTGATAAAATAAGATAGAACTTTTATAGAAAAATAAGAGAATCTATGTCATGCATCACCAGATATATAGAGAAAAAAATACTCACACAATTTTTGCCAAGTAAAATACTGACAAATGTAAAGGCAAAATAATTTTTGGCAGAACCTACTTCGAGGTACTGCCAAGGCTTAGATGTTCCAAAGGTGGCATTTGATGAACTCCAAACAGCCAGGTTGGATAGCCCCTAAAACTGCTTCTTTATGGTCCTTATTGACAAGATTTTATATGTTTAAAATGGCATAAATGAAAAATATGTTATTCAATACAAAATACCCAAGCAAATGTACCAATTGACATCATAAATACAAATTCCAAATCATAAATACAATTCCAAAGTACGTATTAAAGAAATGATTAGCTTAATTGGAGCCAACATCAAAGCTAAGAAAGGTGGCCAAAATATCTATGGTCTAGCAAGGAGACACTGTACATAAAGAATGAAAAGCAAAGAAATAATCAATCTACTTACAGGAAGTCCCTGTTTTCCGGGGAGCCCCACTTTTCCAGGGTTTCCTGAAATGCCATCTGTCCCTCGGTGTCCTTGCAGGCCCTTCGGCCCAGGTAGGCCGGGAAACCCCTTGGTAATTAAAAATGACTTGGATTATAGAGAGACACTGTCCAGGTGATTATATAACAAATACCTTTATATTTATGGGTGGGGGCAGTGTTTACATTTCTAATATCCTGTCCAGGATAAATTTTCCTATTTCGTGGATTCCTTAATGGTTTATTATTTGTTTTCAAAAGATCGGGCCACTGTCTTTAAGTTCCCTAAGCAAAGATGCCACGCTGATCAGCAATTTACTGTGTGTCCTTTTCAGTTTTAGTGCAATTCCCTGGTATTTCTCATTGTGCCGCTCAGGCTTTACCCAGCTGTGAAGAAAAGATCAGCTATGTGCACCTGTCTGCTTAGGATATAGGCTGCCATTCACCATCTACAAAACCCCCTATTGTATTATTTTCCAAAGGAACACATTATAGCTCTTTTTGTTGCCACTTTGAATTCGTTCTGGTTTCTATGACTGAGTCTGAACAATCTGTTTCCACTCTTGGGCAACTGGATTTTATCTGTATGAATCGCTTACCTGAACATGTCATGATTTATGTTTATTTTCTACTTTTTTGAACCAACACAGGTCACACCCAAAGCAGGTGGCTAGAGAAGACCAGCAGAAAATCTTTGCTAATAAGTCAGTCAACACATATTTGCCTAATCAGGGGGGGAAACTGGTGGCTAAGATATAATTAATTTTTGTTCTGTGATGAAAGACTTTGTTTTTCCCCCCCTAAGACTTTCTGTTCTTTTACCAGGAAAATGAGAGGTTGAGTGCTTTAATTAAAATCCAGCTCATGTCTCTATCCACACTTGATGATCTCTGACCTCTGTCACCAATCACTTAGTCATGAGTCCATGTTCCCTATTTTTTAGTGGTTCACCATCAGAGAGTAGCATGAGTCCACAGAGAGGGCCCCATAATACTGGAAGCAGCATCCTTCTTTTACAGAGACTTACATTTAAACAGCAAGCTTGGTTTTGAGCCAATGGTCATATTTTGTTTCCTCTATGTTCCTGCAGGGGCTTAACATTTTTCTTGAAGAAAATCTGATTTATCCAACACTTGTCATAATTGGCCCCAGACCTTTCTGCTTGCTAAAGTTGCCAACTCTATTAAGAAAAGCAAGAAAGATGCCAACGGCTGGCTACTTACAGGAATCCCAGGTTTTCCAGAAGCACCAGGAGCTCCTTTTTTCCCCATCGGGCCCTAAAAATGTAAATCACAGTTGTCAAGTGATTGCAATAAATTTAATTAAACTTGAAGGCATAGAAAAGAACCCTGAGACTTGGATGCTGCACTACAGCAAGTACTGCCACTAGCTAGCTAGCTATCACTGAGACTGCCATTTAAATGACCTGGGGGTCATTTTCTTCAACCTTAACTGGGAGAATTTGACCACATCATCTATCAATTTTCATCTAGCTCCAAATTCACAGTTTAAAAATTTAAATCTTAAATCTAAGAAGGAACTGAATAGATTATTTAACAAATAACTTTCAGGCAGGGCCTTTGTCTCTTTATTGAAAGTGACTAAGTACTTAATTAATTCAGCAGTAAACATTTATTGAGCATTTTGCACCAGGGACTCTGTTATGTGCTGGGAGTGCAAAGTCAAGTCTCTGATCACCAACCCTTGACATGTAGTGACAGACATGACCTAATCAGCCTAAAATGTGCTTTCTAGAAGCATAGAGAACATGCTTGTGAATTAAAGAACGGATATTTATTTCCCACGGAACTCCTTGTTTTTCCATGTCTGAGACGTTTTAAATCCTAATTGATTCAGCAGCAACTGGTCTGCCAGGATAGTTAGAAACATTACCCTTGCAAATTATGACATTATTCTGATGATATTCTAAAATTATTTTAAAAAGAGAAATGTGGAATAGAGTGACCTAGTTCATAAATAATAAAAAAAGAGCCTATGATCATTACCACAAATATTTCTCAGAAGTCATCAAAACTTCTCACAAACAGGATAATTCCACCAAAATGGGATGTTATTCAAATCTGAAGATAAATTATGCCAAAGATTCAATTTGATAACAATAAGAAAGTAAAAAAGACTACATTTTCTGAAAATGAGCTTGAGCATTTTAAGAAGAAGTAGTATATCTAGCCACAGAGAAAAAGAGCATTTTATATGAGATAAAAATCTAACTTTTTTAGAAGTTGATAATGGGGAAATATATGGATCAAGCGTTCTTCAAACTTTGAAACTATTTACTTGTCTTAAAAAGTCACTAATGTGAAGTTTTTCTAAGGGTAAGAAAACAAAAAAAATGTGATAGTTGGTTACCTGGGTTCAGTTGAAGCTACTGGAACATATGATCCCTATGATATACATGTGACAACACATATATTTCAGAACACAATACTTTAAAAATTGAAAAAATTCTGATTTAAATGATCTTTTTATTTATTTATTTATTTATTTATTTTTTAATTTTTTATTATAAAGGGTATTACATATG